TGGACAAGATCTGGTGGTGAGACGTGTGTGTGTGTTTTTCTCCCAATTAAGCTTGGCTTGACTGCTCCTACACCTGTTAAAGACATCTGACCTCATGGTCTAAAAAATCATGGAGCAAAAGATACGAAAGAAAAGATTGTGTAAAATGATTCCAGTATACCTAATGTTGTTAATAATGCACCAGACAGTGTACAGTTTTATTCATTGGTATGTTACATATCAATACCAGTGCATTATGGCGTACAATTTCAGAGTTATTGCTATAAACATTACATATTTATTCATAATATTTATATTTACTCCAAAAAATTTAATCTACTCATGTAGCCGACTACACTTAATTGGGACACAAGACTTGGTTTGCTTTTGTTTAGTAGTATGGCATTCTTTTATTAAAATATTTAGGTCTAATTTATCCTTTTAATTTTAAGGGGAAATTACAAAAAGAAAAAAAAAAAGAACAAAGCAAAACAAAACCCAGGATTTGAGCCTGGTAACAAAATAAACCTTGAATTGTTAATTTCATCAATTTAAACTCAAATCTTTTGATTTGTTTTCAATCTAAACCATTTGTTTATTTTTGTTAATTGAGCTTAACGACTAAAATACTAGTTTTCCATCAATTTTACTTAACAAAATAGGCAAATGGTTTAGATTAAAAAAAATTAAAAGATTAGGGTTTAAGTTGACAAAATTAAAAACTCAGGATTTATTTACCAGGTTCCAAAGTTTTAAATGGCTTTACTAAGGCTCACCTTGATGCTCGCCTTGAGGCAAGGCTAAGGCAAAACGCCTCAAGGTTTTGATTTTAGGCTTTACTCCCCAAAGGCTTGCACACAGTCCGAGACATGCGCCTTAGGTACATCTTGTACGCCTTTTACGCACAAGCATGTTAGGAGTACGCATATGAAGAATTTGTATTAGGTTCTTGTTAAACTTAGTCTAGTAGATGGTTTAAACATTAAAAAAATAAAAAATAAAAACCCTTTTGCAACTATATTCTATAGGAAAAAATAAGTAAATGACCAATTAAGAAAAAACACAAAGTTAATGCTCAGTGAGAAACTTAATCACTAACGCTAAGAATACCAATTACACTTTCAAAAGAGCAAAACTTCCTTCTTTGCAGTGAACCTTGAGCAGAAAAGTATTTACACATTTATATTTAATTTTGATGTATCTATATATTGTTTTAAAATATTTGAATTATTTACAAAATATAAAATTTCAGAATTTGAAATGCTTACGCCTTGCCTCATGACGGGTAAAACGTCTTGCATTACGCATTTGCCTTTAAAAACTTTGGCAGGCTCAAACCTAGGGTTTTTTTTTTTTTTTTTTTTAAATTTTAGGTGTAATTTAAACAATCAAGAATCAGTAGAGATCTTATAATAGATTTTAAATTAAAAAATGAATTGTAAAGTGTTGAGTGTGATATAGTTTGCACACTAAAGTAATCTACAAACCATTTTTTAATTTAATAAAAAGCATACAAGTATACAACACACACCCCACATCTGACCCATGTCACCCATCTCCACCGCCACAATATATTATTACTATGATCTGTTACCATCAGCTTCATGTCAAAATCTGTACATAACATAATGCGTTTATTTCATCTATAGCAGCAGGAAAGAAACGGAATGCTCAAAGCAGGAAATGGACGGAATGACCGAAGCAAGTGGAAAAAAAGACCAAGATGAAACAGAAGTAGATTTGTTTCTGTTTATTATTTTGTATTTTTTTGTCAAAACAGTAAGCTTCTGACCTTAGCGGCTGGTATAGTATGACATTAACAACTTTGCAATACACTTTGTCTAGGTCTAGATAGCGTTTCAATCTTGAAACAAGGGAATATATAAAAGAGATCACTCCAAAAAAGAAATTTCTTCAGATTTACAATTGCATTACTAGACCCAGCCTTTTTTTATACTTCTTCTAAATGCAATAGCTTTTTTTATTGTATGCACATCTTGGACATGTTACAAAAAGAAATATCTTCAATTACTAGTTTAGTAACTAAAACTGGAACACCAGGATAAATTGCTCGATAAATAGATACCAAGAAAATGTGAAATTAGTAGGCAGCTGCAACATCACCTCAAAGTTGCTACTTACTAAGCACATAAGTAACACAAATAAAACAAACAAATTTTCTGAACACTTATCACAGACCTGATGTTGAGACCCACGTTCTCAATGTAATCACGTTTCTAATTTCATTAGAATAGTAAAATCTTAGCATTGTTTAAAATCTTAGAGATGACCAAGTATAATTCTAATGTTTCTTCACTAGATGGATGCAGGTAAAGCGTCCATCCCCATTAGGTGACAAGGCCATCTAATCCATGCATGGGTTAACCGGTGCCATGAGTCAGTGTGGTGAGGCAACTCGTGGGCCAATAGTATACTTCCATGTGCCCAACTTTGGGACAAGCCAACAGTCTCAGAAGAGTAAGGTACACTTGGTATTTGCTTGGAACAGTCCTTGGTCTGGCCAAGAGATTTCCACTGTAGCGATCCTCTGGTCAATCGAGTTCAGCTTCATCACTTGACCTCCAAAAATCGATCAAGTGACCGCTCAGTATCCCCCACTCAATGTTCAACAACCGATTGAATGAATTCAACTTTTTCACTAAATTTCCATCTATCAATCAAACAACTCTTTGACTACCCAACTCAGCATCTATTAATTGAATGTACAGTCTATAAGAGAGATCCATCATGATCACAACTTCCAGCTTATACTTGATTTCGGACAATGCTACCAAATTAACCTAGATTGGAAACAAGGTCTACAATCTCCAATCAAGACCACTGAAGGGGGTTAGTGTCATGGGATCATCAAGGTCGCTCAACCCACCCATTGGGGTCCACCTTGACTAATTTGAGAGAGAGAGAGAGAGTTTAACTAAGACTCTTAACATCTCAAACATCATCTTATACCTACCACTTCAGGATTACAATAAAATCTCTAAGGCTTATCATAGCTAACCACCGCAGCCCCATGATACTTACTTAAAGTTCGACCATGGGCACAGACTGAACAGTGGATAGTTGGAAATCATTGGGTGGTCAAACCAAGGGGGTTAAGCCACCCGTTCATAGCTAAGTTAGTTCCCTTGATTCAACCCTTCTATAACAAAGGATATTACTGTGCACACAAAAACCAGCCAAATCCATCTCCTTTGGCAAGCTTATAGACACAACCTCTAGCGGTCTCTTGCTAGCTAAGTGCCTATCATCTTCTTAGATCCTCCTCTTCGGCCACCTCAAGCTCCTACCTTCCACAATTGCAATTGAACCTAAACACCTCAATTGTTTATCATGGATTTCTACATCAATTTTTAATTATGTTAAGGTTGTTAATTACACTTGTTCCATCAAGGAAAGAACATTGATTCCAAAGGTCAAACCATTGGAACAAGGAGCGCAACCATTTCCCAGTTTGATGTACATCTGTGTTTAAAACAATTGGACCAACCCACAATATGACATGCTGCCAAATTGGCCATTGCCAAGATGAAAGGCACAATATAATAAAAGGCCATAAAAATCTAATGTACCATGGCCAAACTTAAGATCGGCCACAAAGTTCCACTGCTTAGCCCAAGGCAAATACCTATATTCCAATGTTCAGAAGTTTACCATGTACCAAAAATGGAATAGAAGTTAAAGGTTTCATAGTTACCTAGAAAAGTAGAGCTAGCTGTAGAATCGAAACCTCAGTAAATAAGGTACCCCTACGACTAAGGAATCTACCTTATAGGTCCTAACATTGAAATAAATTTTCAACATTAAATATCGGAAATAAGAGGTCAAAGTGAAACTGTAAAAAGTACACCAAAAGGCAATTTCAATTTGTCCACAAAAGTGAAATAGGTCCATCTTTTGCAGTCTCCAGTTACAAGTTACTGGTCTAGCAGTGTAAATTTTCCATTCAAAGTGTCTGCATGAGGCAAAAGTGCTAAATATGACTCGGATCTCTGGTACTCAAACATTAGCAATCATACCACCACTAAGAAATTTCCCGTGTGACAACCAATTTTTCTAGTACCTTTTTGTCATCTCATACACTTCAACTCCCTTCTTCAAGTTTTGATAAGGTTAATCCTTCGAGAAGCTTTACAAGTTCAACTTTTTTTCCACAAATTGTATCAAAAAAATAAATTTAAATTAATTGTTTGCACAAAAATCAAACAACAACAACAGCTCATATTATTTGTATACCATAAACATACAATATTCTAACTTTAAAATGTCATCTAACTTCTAATACACATATGCAAGAAGCAAAAATAGTACATAGAACAAGGATTACGTAAATTATTTACTAAAAACAATATATACAAAACTATCATAAATACTTCACCTAAATTACTTGGTCATATGTTATGGGCTTTGTTTCAGATATAAGTTTTTTACGTTAATGTAAATGAATTTATAGTACATAAAAGTAAATCTTTTTAGTCATTATAATTCATACAAATACAAACATTTTTTTTATTTTTGCAACAATGGAAGCCTAAAGAGTTAGACAAGCAGAAACCACACACAAGCTCAATCATCAGTTAACTTATAAATAATTTAATCAGTATATCATAATTCGAGTATAAAAGGTTTAACCTTTATTTATACATCCTGATTTCTTTTCTTTCCTTTTCTTTCTTTCTTTCTTTCTTTATTTTTTATACATTTCAAGATCATGATTCACTAATGACGCTTTGCAAATGAATTCCATGTACATGAAACAAATTAGAGAATAAAAAATTTCCTAGTTTTAAAAAACAAGAAGAAGAGGTAAAAACACAAAATAAAATAAGTTTAATTTGGTAATGTATGACCAGCTATAGAGATCTAAGATTGAAAGCAACCAGTAAAACCCCAAACCAAACCCATCAAATCCATGAATGCCCAGAAGCTGAAAATCAACAAAGACATATAAAAGAAGAAAACAATTGAACAGTAAGTAAAATTTGAAGAGAAAGACAAGAGACCTCTCCAAGAAAGTGAGCGCCGAGATGAGCATGTTCAAGTGCCTTCTTGCCAGCAACAATGCAGTAGCGAAGGCAATCATCGAGACGTCGATCGTTCTTTCCATCAATGTAACCCTGGGAGTTGAAACCACGGATCTGGCCGCCGAATCGAGTGGGGAATTTGGAAGCATCGAAGCGGTCAATGTGAGTGATGCCACTCTCTCCACCAAGAAGCTTGTTGTAGTAGGTGTCAACGTCGTTTCCGAACACGGAAACCAATCCCATCCCCGTAATTACTACCCTCTTCTTCGGATCCTTCTCGCGTTTCGGGGCTGAAGCTGTGGTGGCTGAGATGAATGAGATCTTTTTCTTCTTCTTCTTGGTGGTGGTGGTGGTGGTGGTGATGGTGATGGATGGTTTGGCATTGGTGCTGATTTGTGGGGAATGTTTGCGAAATGGGTCTAGCGGGGATGGTCTGAGGATCGAGGAGGAGAATTGGAGAGCTTGCATGACGCTGCTGCTCAAAAGTGTTGCGAGCGAGCGAGAGAGACAGAGATGTGTGCCTGTCGATGAGCACGATGTGGGTTGTGGGGAAATGGATTCTATTTGATTTGAGCCGATGGCTGTTAGTTGTAAAATAGTTTTTTATTGTATAATTATTCTTTTTGTCTTTATATCATATAAAAATGATTATTTTGTTTTGTTTTTATTTTCAGTTTTAATTTTAAAAAAATTATGTCATTAATAAAAGTTAATATAATTAGTATTAATTAATATAAAAATTGATACATTTGATAAAAATGTAATGGAAGTATTATTGTTATAATTTTTTTCCATTATATATTAATTAGTATCAATTAATTGCTTAATTAGTATCAATTAATACTAAAATTATTAATTAGTATCAATTAATGGTTTAATTAGTATCAATTAATACAAAAATTATTAATTAGTATAAATTAATATTAATAATAAATTTTTATTAGTATCAATTAATATTAATAATCAACAATTGTTACTAATTAGTATCAATTAATAATTAATTCATTACAAAAGTATACAATATTAATTTATTAATAATTAATACCAATTAATATTGATTTTTTTCT